TGTCAACATGTGAAAACGGTCTGTCCATGATCGCCTTGTTGAAAGCTGACAGATCCAAAATCGATCTCATCCCTCCGGTCCGTTTGGGAACCAGGGAGTAACGTGAGTAAAACCCTGTGTTTTCCTCTCCGTTGGGAACCCTGGAGATCACTTTTATCAGAAGCACTTGGACTTCTGCATTTAGGGATGAGATTTGGTCTGGTGATGACAGGACCGTCTCTATAACTCCTCCGAACGGAGGGGGTTGGGTTGCAAACTGTAACTTGTAACCATTTGCATAACACCTTGTCCATCCATCTGACCGGCGAGCATGTTTTAGCCACTCTACGTAACGTTCGTGGAGTGAACGTGCGTTTAAGTGATGCATCATGTTTTGTACGGCTGTCACCAGTCCGCCCCTCAACCGCCGTCATGCGTCGCGGGAACGTTTTCCGCGTGACCCAGGGCGAGGCTTCCTCGAAAAAAGGCTCTGAACGTGCCCGTGCGCTGCGTTCGGACCGCGGACCAACCTTCATGTACAGGTGGGCCGGTGTGTGCTGAGGCGAAGCGTGTGACAGCTAATGACGCCGTGGGGCTGCGCGTTTGACGACGCTGTGCAAACGTTGAGAGGCGGAGAGCGTGACTTCATCTACGCCGTGCTGTTGGAGTGAAGGCTGCGAGCCCCGCGGGAGCACACGTTTTCTCTGGAGGGACGCGCGCCACTCTCGCTGGAGGCGAGACTCGTCACCGGGTTCGTTCAGCTGTCTCACGCTTATGCTGCCGTGAGCTGCTGAGCGCTGAGACGCGGTGGGTGACGGTTGCCCGCGTTTGCTTCGGTGAGGCGTGTGTTGCTCTTTTGAGAGCGAGGACCTCCACCGGACCCGGCCTGCGGTCCCACATTTATACCGATGTGAGCCGGTGAGCGCCGGGCAGCTGTGTGCCATCATCAATGCAGCACCGTTGGATGGAGGCTGTTGCATCACACGAGTGCGCATTTGACACCGCTTGGGTGAGGATCGTGCAGCTCGGGTTGACAACGAGTTATTTTCGCTTACCATTGTGTCGTGTGCGCGACTTGTCATGTCTTGGAGCGACGGCGAGTTTAAAAAACCTTAATTTAAGGACACCGGCTCGTTATGTGTGGAGGATGTGTGCGCAGCCGTTGTGAGTTCATCCGAGCTTACAGACTGGCTAAAAACAGACACTTTGATCATTGAATGATGATTTATTTCAACTTCCATGTCACTTTTACACACACCCTCCGCAGACCGTCATTTTTTAAAACTTCTCCCCCTTAAGCTCTGCGATTTGTTTGCCCAGAGCGCTGTCTGCAGGCGATCTCTGGGGAAACACTGAACTGCAGGTTGCCAGGATGAAGAGGGCTGGTCTCTGACGGGCGGGGCTGGTGGTGGAGCTGAGCGAGAGACGCCGCCGCGGCCGTGGAACGTCGTTGTTCTGCCTCTGCTCACGACGGTCTCTCCAGCGGGCCGGGGGGCGGGATGAGCCGCGCGGCTTGATGAGGTGGCGCACAGCCTCTGGCACCTCCTCCGACTGCTTCGAGTTCGCCAGCATGGCTTGAAGCTGCTCCCGAACAGCGCGTCCGCCATGATGGGGCCCTCCATCAGGTCTTTGTGCAGTTTCTCCGGCAGCGAGGGGGAGTGACGGAGCTAGGTGGATGTTGAATCATCGTCATCCATGCTGCAATCCTGGACAGGCAAACCGTAGCAGAGGCACACATATTGAGGATGGTGTCGACTACCTTACAGAGGGAGCTCTTGGTCTCCTAAGGCAGGTCTGCAGCCTCCAGCCCCTTGGACATGCTATATGCTAGCAGCGCCACGTTGTTGTTAGCTGTGGCTGCCTGAAAAGCACATTGATGGGCTCGATTGGAGAGCGTGGTCACTGTCTGGTCGTGTTTCCCAGGAGGGATGGGATGCTGCTCCAACCTGGACAGCTTCGCTCCGAAAGCTTCCGCGAGGCTTGGCTCAAGGGGGGGTTACCGAGGGATAGCCCCGCTCGGTGAACCCCTCCACTCTGGTGATGGGTGCAGACTGGAGACAGGCTCCCCCAATCTACCAGGAAAGAACCGTCTGTGGCCTCGCCCGTAGGACGTCCTGTTGGAACACGAGGCCATATGGATCAAGACGGTGAGCCGGAATGGAACCCAGTAAACAACCTTCCCGCCAGATCATCCGAACTGGCGGGAAAAGGCGTGGGACGTAGAAAAAAAAGGGGTCCCTTCATGTCAGCCGCCTCCTGGGTTACGCCGGGCAACCCCTGAGGGCGCCGTCGGCCGGGAGCGGTGTGATCGCCGATGCGAAACGAGGTGGGATGGGGTGAGCATTCACTCAGGCCCCCTCCACCGACGCTACGCTCCCCAGGAGGGAATGAGCAGCGGGGGGCTGCAGCTGAGCGCGCCTGTCCCGGAGGAACCATCCGATTCGCTCCGAGGGTCGGCGATAAGAGGAAAAATTACAAGATGGCGTTGTCCAGCGTGTAGTGACCTGTCACTGAGAAATACTCCTCGGCGCTTACCTTGAAATAAGACTGCTCGTCAGCTTCTCCTCGGGGAGGAGAACTCACCGGACGACCGGAGGTCGACTGCCGGGCCAAGCATCCTTAACAAAGGTTGGTCATCTACACAATTTTCCTTCTTTGTTCTTCTGACAGTGCTATTAGCTTGCTGAAGAAAAAATGGGAGCCGATTTCTCGCTCTTAACGTAATTTATACGGACCGGGTAAGGCCCGCACAGCAGGTGGGCGTGGACTAAATTTTTCAGTGCTAATGCTCCACATAACGGGATAAACCCACCAAGCGAAAGCCTTAAAGGGCGAAGCTTATACAAAATAGAACTGGTTTGAGAACTAACTGGTGATCATCTCATGCAACCAGGTGAGCGTTACAAAAGACCAAGAAGATTTGTTACGAACTGAAAACTTGTATTGTGCAGACAATAAATAGAACGTACAAACGCTGGCCTCATACTCTGACAAGGTTTCCGTTGAACAACGCCGACGCTGTTCGTATGAAATTCATTCGCTCAGTCGTTGAGACAAATGCAGTTCGAAGATGAGACAACGGATACTGGAGTGGGACTGGTTGACTCGGGTACATGCACTCCCCACCCCACCAGCGTCAAAAGGGTTTGTTTACAAAAAGAGTCTCTGCTGAAGAAAAACCACCAGGACGAAGATGTCCCTCTGAGCATCCACTTCTACTGGCAGGTGCATTTCTAGAGACATAGCCTCAAAGGTTTGCTGATCCAAACATCAGGACAGCCATGGACTGTGTAGTCAAGCTGCTGGAAGACCCGATGCAAAATCTTCTGACAGAACCAGGTTCAAGCACTTCTTCACAGAAGAAACTGCACTAAGGACGGTGGAACCTGCAGAGGAGAGAAAAGAAAGAAAATGTGAGTGAGGATTCAAGCTATCGTGTCACTAGGCTGCAACTGTTCGTGACTCGCTGGTGAACACCACTGAGGTTCACAGAGTCCTCCGTGACGTTTCAGAAAAAGAAAAGTTGCACACATTTCTTCCTAAAATAGTGGGAGTTGTTGGAGGTGTCTCCAACCTGTCTCAAGAGCACTAGGGCTGTAATTCAACACCTTCACAGGAGCTCTCCACTCAGAATACATCAGAGGCAAACACTAAAAACCACAAATTATCAAATTGACCCAGAAATTTTACTTTATTTGGTTGTTGTTTTAAACACTATTGCCCCTTTTCCATTAGTACCTGTACGGGCCGGTACAGCACGGCTCTACTCTACTCGGTACGGTACAGGTTGTGTTTCCATTATGCTTTCAGTACCGGTTCCAGTGGGCGGGGTTCAAATTGACGTCACCACCTCTCACCAGCTGGTGGCGCTGAGACGCAGAAACTGTTTTCAGTACAGGTTGAGAATTTATGTTATTTTGAAGTTGTG